TGCTTTTAAGTTGGTGTGATCCAACCCTGGGTTTTGTTGAAAACATAGATACTTATAATAGTCTTCTGGGGATAACATAGCTCTATGTTACATATGCTACTTGCGGCGAGTGCTGTCTTACCCCTATTCATTTTGAATATTCCACACTTATCCAACCCGAACCGCATGCCAATGTCCTCACTGAATATTTGTATGAATGAGGGATGACAAATGATCTTCTGACTGGGCAAACAGTTTTATATCATCCATATACATCAATTGGGTAACTCTGTCATTGTGCTGCTTCTTTACTTTGTAACCCGCTGAGCTCCTATTCAACAACTGTGATAATGGGTTCAGGGAAGACAAAACCATATTGGGTTAAGACTGTCACCTTGGTAAACGCCTCTGTTGATTTGGACGTTACCTAGCTTAACTTTGTCTACAAATAGCGTGGAACTCCACTGTTTCATCTAAGTAGTTAAATATGTACGTATTGCAGGGTTGATCTTATATAGGCCCTGCACCTTAAGTAACCAATCGTGAGGAACAGAATCAAATGCCTTGCTATAATCTATATAGCAAGTATACAGATTTCGTTGTTTTAGTTGGGCACTTCTAACTATTATGGCATCTAATGTTAGCTGTTCCTTACAGCCTTTCGATTTTTTAATGCATCCCTTTTGTTCATCTGCAAATATCTGGTTGGCCTCGCAGTGTTCATAAATCTTTGAACTCAAAATAGCGGTTAAGAGCTTATAAAGTGTCCGTAAACAGGTTATGGGGCGGTAAAGTATTTTGGAAGACTACTTGGGTCGCTAATAAGTCTAGAAAAGCATGTGGCTAAGGGCCCGAGTAGAACATGCATCTTCTTAATCCAGAATTTCTGAATCTTATCAAGACCTGGGCATTTCCAGTTGATTAGCCTCTTGACTGCCTCTTTGACATTATCGGTTGTGATTGAAACGTCCGGCATTTCAGTTAGTGATTTTGTAGAGTCTTGTATAGTAGTGAGCCAGGACGCTTGCTCATTGTACTTATGACTTATGCTCCATATGCTACTCCAATATTTATAAAAACTGTCTCGGTTTACATCTTTCGAAGTGGGGCTTATACCTTCTTTAAGGAGGGAGTTATAAAACGTTCTCTGACTTATTTATTTTTATTATTTTATTATTATTATTGTTTGCTTTTTTATATGTGCAAGGTCTAAAATCTCACGCCAATGACAACTGCCTCGTAGTGGTCATATCCTTTCCGCACACTTTCCAACACAACCAAGAGCCAGGAAGCTGCTCCTCAGGGAGAACTGACAACTTATTAGAGGGTGCCCAAATATCGGCTCGCCGCAACTGCCGTGTACTAGACGTGCTAATCAAGTCCTCGTTAACTTCGGCCCTAATTTGAATTGCATACTGTGGATATTAGCATGCCAGAGTCGCCCGACATCGATCCGAGAGCTGCCGCTACCGTCGGCTCTAGCACCGACGGTAATCTTCTGCTGTACTTGCACTTCTCCTGCGCCTTACTTCTGGTAAGGTAAACACAGACGTGGCGGGAGTTATTTCTCTCATTGAATCTCTCCGCCTTAATCGTTTTCACCTGAGACATTTTCTTTGAGAAGCGAAATTGCATGTATACAGAAGATCGTAATTTACCTTCAAGATTGTTTGGCTTGCTCTTTTTGCAGTTCCATATGCTCGACCCTCTTTTAGAGATACTTTTGAAATTTTGGCATATTAAGACGGGACACTTTCATAATATTTTAGACCTTAAGCTATCGACTTTTTTCTGGTACTTATACTTCTAGCTAAGGTAAACACAGACATGTCGAGAGATATTTCTTTCCCGGAATCTCTTCGTCTCGTCATTTTCAATGGTGAAATTGTACGTCTACAGAAGATTGTAACTCAACTTTGAAGGTCCAGATCCACAATAATAATAATAATAATAATAATAATAAATCGTCTTTATTTATAAATTTACATAGTATCGGCCGAAGTTTAGCTAAATAGCTACTCTTCCACTTAACCCTATTATTTTCATGGTTGTGAACCAATGTAAATACATGTAATTAACATGTATATATATACAGTGGCTAACCAAAGGAAAACAAAAATATTGTAAGACATAATCTAAAAATGTAAACAGATTCAACAACACGTCAAATAAAATTTTTCTGGCGGTTACTAATCTAAACTACAAACTACTACTTAATTATTACTACGAGTCATTTTTGATAGCAAATGCTGCTTGACACAAACTTTAAATTTAGTTTGAGATAAATTTTTGAATGCATCAGGTAGCACGTTATACAGTTTGACACAGTTATACCTAAAAGAGCGAGTAAATAAAGCCGTACGGTGCCGTGGAATATCTAATAATTTGCCATACCTGAGCATGCGATCTCTAACAGATTGCCTGAAAACAATTTTTTTGAAGAGGTATTCGGGAGTTCCCGTGATAATCAAATTATGAATGAACTTCAAGATAAGATACTTGTAAGAGCTATTAATATCTAATCATTTTAAACTACGAATACAGTGTGAAACATGGTCATATTTTCTTAAACCGTAGATGAGGCGACAGCACGAATTTTGAATCAGTTGAAGTCTGCGAACTGAGACTTGATCTAAGTAACGATAGAAAACTATAAGGCAGTAGTTGATTTTTGAGAGAACTAGGCTTTCACAAAGATGTTTTTTCAATTTGAAATTGATGAAATGCCTATTAACAAACAATGTTTTTAGTACAACAAAGCAGTTTCTTACTAATTTAGATATATGCTCACGAAAACGTAAATCCTTGTCAAGTAAGACACCCAAATTTTTTGCAAGATCCTCTTAAACTAAAGAAGTGTCATTAATCCGTACTGCCGTGTTATTTCTGATATTAATGATTTTGTTTTTTGGTGCAAAGAGAACAGCTTTAGATTTAGAGGCATTTATCGTTAAGGAGCTATGCTTGGAAAAACTAACAATAGTGGCTAAGTCACAATTCAACTCGTCAACAGCTGCTACACAGTCATCTGGATCAAAAGTTTTACATATTTGTGTATCATCCGCAAAAATCATCACTTCAGAGGAGCGTATCAGTTTACACATGTCTGATATGTAAATGGAGAACAATAGCGGTCCTAAAACAGAGCCTTGAGGGACCCCTGATATCACATTCTTATATGTCGAATATGAGTTGTCCAAATGTACCCTTTGCATACGATTCATGAGATAACTAGTAATGAACTTGATAGATGCTTGAGAAAATCCAATATATTTGCATTTTGAGATCAAAAGTGAATGATTGATAGCGTCAAAAGCCTTGGAGAAGTCAAGCAGTACAAGAGCTGCTGCTTGACCCCGATCCAAAGCCTCAACAATATCATCAGTCACCTTAAGCAGGGCAGTGGTGGTGCTATTCCCTACTTTGAAGCCAGACTGGTTTTTTGGAATTATGTTATTCTCAGAGCAGTACTCTTTCAATTGATCATGTACTATCCTTTCCAATATTTTCGATAGAATCGGAAGTAAACTTATTGGGCGCAAGACGGAATAAGCTGAAGGGTTATTAGTTTTTGCCAACGGAACAATTACTGCTTGCTTCCATGCAGAGGGAAAATAGTGAAGTTCCAAACAAGAATTAATCAAATGCGTTAAATATTTGCCAATCACAGGAAGACACAGTTTTATCATATTAGGCGTAATACCATCATGCCCACAGGCATTAGATTTTATTTTAAATAAATGCGAACGTATATCTTCCTCAGTGGTCATGACCAGATCAAACTAACAGGTATGTGGTTACGCTTCTTAGTCTGGATGTTCAAATTCCTTATACCCTTATATAAAGAAGATGAATTATTAGTTTCTTGTAAGTGCTGAAGATAACCAACCTTTTCTACGCTGTGATGCAAGAGCATAATTTCTCAGTTCTGTGTATTCTGTCCAGTTCTGATTTGTCCTATTGTGTTTGTATTTTATTAAAGCTGCATCCCTCTGCTTGAAAATAGCTCTTAAGTTTTGCATTAACCATGGAGCAAAGGGCTTGCTTACCCTCGCTGTACGTAACGGTGCATGTATATCAAACAAAGAAATTATAAAATCATTTAGAAATTCCACTTTGTCATCAATGTCTCGAATACAAATAATATCATTCCAGTTTATACTCAGTAAGTCGGCCATAAAGTTGTCATGATCAAAATTTTTGAAATCACGGTAAGTGACAATTTTTTGTGGGGTCTGATGTTTATCAAAAGATACTTCACAGTAAACCAACCTGTGATCGGTGAAGACATCTACATTTAGTGTACCAATATTATGACACTGTTCAGGAAAATTTACAAAAATAGGATCTAGTAATGTTATAGAAGGAGAACAAATTCTTGTAGGCTCGTCAATCAATTGTTTAAAAGAATATGAGTCGAAGCAATGAGATATTTTGTTACTCAGATTTAGCAAATTGACATTTACATCACCCAATATGATAATGGTCGTAAACAGTAGACAAATGCGATAAAAGTGTATCCAGAGTTTCAACTGCAGAATTGAGATTAGCCTTAGGAGGTCTGTACAACAATCCTAAGCCAACTGAGGACTACTTGAATTGAAGTTTCAACCAAAATTGTTCAATTACTGATGGATCATCTCCAATATAATCAGTTATAGAAATACGTTCACAATTTATATCATCATTTATATACACACCTATTCCGCCACCCCTACTGTCTCTATCCTTCCTATGAAATGTATAACCATCTATAGACAAAGTATCTGAAGGAACCATCTCAGTGAGCCATGTTTCAGTGAGGGCAAATACATCAGATCTTTTTTCTTTGATGAAGACCGACAGGTCAGTTAATGAAGGTACAAGGGAACGAATATTGACATGTCCAAATTTCACTGAGCTTACCTTAACCATAACCGATCCTACTTTTTAATTTAGAGATGTACCTTAAGTACATAGGGCAAGTCATATCCCTTGCTGAATGGTCCACTGCAATGTTTTCCTTCTTCCAATTATTATAATTAATTAATTATAATATTTGCAGATTTACATTCTTTTAAGCAATGATTTCCGGAACAAGAAGGGCACCTAGCAAATGCAGATCTGCACTGCTTATCAGTATGACCAAACACTGAGCACTTATAGCATTGCACAATTTGAAGATGATCGGTAACTGCACATCTCTTCCAACCGATATAGACGTATTCTTGCACCATTACTTTTTTCCGGACCTCCGGAGAAACCTCTAAGATGAGGTCACAGCCATTCCGCATTTTTAATTTGGTGATCACTTTTATATCCGAAGAATTGAAGGTATCCAAGTTGTTTTGACAAAATAGGCTACCTATTATTTGATCGTCACTGTTTAGATCCTCTGTTATTTCAACATTCTTCACACGAATGCGTGGTTTACGTTTTTTGGCCTCATCGACAACGTATTCGTCTCCAAACTGGGTTTGTAGAACGTTTTTGAATTTGTCCAAATTTGATTTTTTGTTGCAAATGACGGCAACTCCATTCTTTATCTTCCTTGTACTATTTATATAGACTTCCAAATTGGCAGGGCTTACTACTTGAGCCATTCTTTTGAAAATATCCTCAGAATTTCATTCAGAAGATTTTACCAGCAACACAGATGAGTCATTGTTGGTATACAATGCCTTTTTTAACACTTGGCTGTACGATTCTGCTGAAGCAGTTTTTTGCAGCATTCCACTATTACTCGATGACGTTTTTGTCGCATTCAGCTCCTTTTCGTACACATCAATTTTAAATTTATGCAACTGTGATGCATTCTCTAATTCCGTTACCAATTTTTCAAGTATGCATTTTTCGCGTTTTAGACATTCAATTTCCTTTTGTTTTAGACATTCACTTTTTAGCTTGTTTTTCTCAGCTTGTCCACCATTGTCGTCAACACAAATCGCTGCATATTCTGCGTTTTTACACATATCACAAAACCAAGCAAAATTATTAGATTTAGACAAAATTTTCAGGGCATAGTCCTTCACTGATATGCACTGACTATGGTAACTCTTTTTGTATTTTTTGCAGCACACTAACTTACTATTCACGATGAAATTATCGGAGCAACGCTCGCATACATGTACGTCATCCGCCATCTTTAGAGCGATGGAATGGAAATTTTTCATGATATTTTTGTCTCGTGAAATAAAAATCTTATGAAAAGTATTATTTTATTGTGGAAACAGAGTCTTGAAAAAGAAATACTCTAGTTTCATTCGAGCTTGGACTAGAACCATGATAGTTGAGTTGATAGAGCTACATGAATCTCATCCCAAATTGTGGGATTCCTTGTCAGAAAGCTATAAAAATAGAAATCTGAGAAAATCAGCCATGGACAAAACCGCTCATTTGGTGGAATTGCATTTAGCATTTGTGTGTCTCGTTTTTCTATTACAAACTTTAATTTGTCCAGCAGAAAACGATAATCAGCAGCGGGCATTCTAGGAAAGTTCTTATGACATTCCTGATCTTCCGTTCTAGTTGCTCTGATAATGTTTCCATTATATTATTTTCTCTCGACCCAATCTCTCCCAAAACATTTGTGTAGCCGCTTTTCTTCTATGCTTTTTTGTTGGCATCCTTGACCCACAGTTATTTGATAAAGTTCAGTAATTTAATGATGTGCCTTTCTCTGTTTCTCTCACGTTCCCTCACGTAGGTAAGTACTGTGGAAACAGCTGAGCCCAGAGACACACGGTCTCATGTGATAGCAAAAATTGTAAGTAGAAATTCTCATGTCCTGTGGAAACACAACCGAGATAAATTTCTCAAAAAACAGAAATCTCTTTAGATTTAGTCTCCTTCTGGACACTTAGTTCAAGATTCATTGGTTTGCTTCCTTTAAGGTTCACCATGCTCTACCTTTTTTTATTGCAACTTGTACTTTTACAAGCTATCCACCTTTCGCTCTGGTACTTCTATTTCTTTGAATTACTTCTAGCTATGCTAAAGACTGACGTCATAATAGTTATTCTTCTCAACCGCTTGTATGTAAGAAAACGTTAAAGGTGATGTAGAGATACTAAGGAGAAGCTCCAATAATTTGTTTCACAACTTAATATAAAGGTTTTTGTGGAAATTATCCATTTATAGGGTTCATCAAACCTGAAATTATTTCTAAGGTTGTCGACTTAAACGAGAAAGGACAGACAGATATGAAGAAGACCAGCCCATGTGCCAACTGATGCATATACCCACTTTTTCCTTTAGAGATGCGTTACACATTTTTAATCTCTTTTATTTATCATTCCAAATATAATTCATACACACACACACACACACATTTAGTCAATATCAATATATCTATTTCGTTAAATTGAACGTATCTGATTTTGAGTGTAGGTCAGCCATCAAAACATATATGAACCAATAACCGGAAGATGTTGATGAAAATAGATGAATCACTTAGTGGCGTCCATTTAGCAGTTATGTATGAGCTGGTGATTGCTAATAAATAAATTAACTACAAGTTCCAGTACGTCGAATGACAGGGTATCCCTAGGCTGTTTCAAATTAATGTCAAATCTACTGTTGAAAGACATTAAAAAATATATTGCACGTTTTACTACAGTTATCTCAAATTTCTCGGCACCTTGAAGGGTAATGATTTTCCGAAAATATTTCAGTGAATGACAATCACTGAATCATTGATCAATCCAACCAAGTTTTAGCTGCTTTATTCTTACAAAATTAATTTTTTTTACAATTATGATGGATGGGCCACACGTCGGTACATATCACACCCACCATTTATTGATATCAATCTAATGATGGCATGGTCTAAGAATTATCCCCGTATGTGCAAAAAATTCAAATTTTACTTTTTCGCGCCATAATGTTACTTTTCGTGCTATTCAATTTTACGGTTACTCAATCAAGTTAATAACAGTTTTGTTTAGTGTTAAATGTTACATATTATAATATCCCGTACCGTTACATTTTTAAGTTATTTTTGTTCTAATAAACCGTATCTTACTTAATTCAAAAAAAACAAATTTAGAAAATTAAAGACACTTTATCATTTAGTTATGAAAATGTAATATAAAAAAAATGTTTCTAACCTTTTGAATCATATTTAGCACCCTACAAAATAAAAAACCCTCTACTGTAAAATAACGATCCATACAGTTACTGGAATTTAGAATTAGACCATCGAGAATCAATAAAAATGATACTATAGCTATAGGTTTTTGCTTATTTCGTGATCAATGAGTGTTACGTTGTCATATAGAATTTCTCACTGATCTAGATTTTGAATATTTGAAATGGCCATGCGCAAGAACGAATAATAATAGATAATCAATCACCTCTTCTACATTGTCAAAAAGTTTTTGAACTATATAGAATCAGTCGGAGTATATTGAATATTCAGTGGCATTTTGTAGGGCTCTCACATGAATTTTTTGTAGAAATTTCTTATACTATTTGCTGATCTTAGAGACCACCCATACCCTTAAGATATTCTGCATACGCTTCTACAAATGTCGCTTTGACGTCAATATACTATACAGAGGAGAGTGGCAGAAAAAGGACGTCCATTTTGTTGTTGATTTAAAAAAATACGAACCAGAAGCATGTTTCAAAAGCCTGCAACGTTTATTTTGTAATACTAAGTGTCGTTTACTTTACACGTTTATAGATATAAAAGTTATTATTATCAAATAGAAGTACAACTAGTAATTTCCAAGACTCCCACAGAGCCGTGTTTTGACTGATGTGTGTCAAAAAACATTGTCAATCACCAATAATTAAGATTATATCCTTAAGCAATGGTACAGAATATATTTGAAACGTTCATAGTTTTTAAATGATAAGTCGCAGAAACCGCAGATGTGCACTTATTTTTCCGTCCCACTTTTTAGCTATTCTAGCAGACTTCATTCCCTTTTATGAGTCTCTCCCATAATCTTTTTTTTAACTGAATACAGATTTTAGCAGAATAGTGGATAGTAGATATCGACAGCTGTAAGTGGTCTGGTTTGCATAATTACAGCCAGAAATAAAATTTCATCCAAACATCTGAACTAACCAATTTCAGAAGAAATGCAAGCTTCGGATCTTACCATTTGAGAAAATATATAAGCTTTTTCCATTATCAAAAGACATAACGATGGACGAAGTGTGCACTTCATTCCGCCGTGGTAGATATCTACTATTTACACTTAGCAACAACGAAGTATCAGAAAAGGTAGTCACTGAGACCAGGAGTCCCCTTATGAGAAGATAATCCGGAGCAGGTTTTTCTATACAGGGTGGCCCATCCATGTATGGTCGGAATATTACTCATTAACAAATACATTTTGGGGAAAAATATTTATGGCATGTTATACATGACATTTGAGGGCACATTTCTAAAATATTGGCAATTATACAATGTCCCAATTTTGACCTACATATCAAAGGTGTGATTTTTAAATGGAATGCCTCAAATTTTATTGCATATTTGGATAAACCAATACAAAAGACGAAGATTGGCTAACATACTATGGAGTCTGGTAATTAGCTACTCAGATGTAAGGTGTTTTGTCCAGAAAAATTTTGTATCAAAAAAATCTAAACGCCTCAGCTTTTATCTTATTTGTTACTTTTTCGAATTTTCATTTTTGCTCATACAGGGTGCTCAAAAGCGCGAATTGTACTTTTTCTCAAAAATTTCAAATGCATCACCATGTATATTTGATCACTAGATTTTGAGTTATTAAGATTTTAATAGAACAACACTCTAAAATTAAGGGAAAAAATCACATAGTCCATGGAAACAAAAGACAAACAGTGGGGTAGTTCCATATTGCCACTAAGAGTTTTCAGATTTGCCGTAAAAACAATCAGAACAGTATAAATCAGCTGCAAGCTAAATAGAGAAAAATACCTATAACAACAACATAAACAAACAACTATCACTACTCAAGACCTGATCTACAAAAACTGCTCAGAAATATCTCCATCATGCTGAATACAGAACCACCAACTGATTCGCCTCATTGGTGACTCTTGGATTATATATACCTTTTTTACTGTATTCCACTGCTGCACTTCGAAACGTTCTCGCTGGTGTAGAAAATGTTTCCGGACTTGGATATCGCATATTAGGGTACCGTTGCTTATAAATGCGAAATGCTAGGAAACTATTTCTTTGGGCTTCGCCCAAAACGAACAAAAATAGCCATAAAAACCCTTCTGTGTCTAGTTTCAAAAAGAATCTTATAAAAAATTGAATCCAAACTTGCACAAATATACAGGATGATGCAATTGAAATTTTTGGGAAAAACTACAATTTGCCTGAATGTGCAAAAATTAAAATTCGAAAAAGTAACAAATAAGATAAAAGCTGAAGTGTGTAAGTTTTTTTGATACAAAATTCAGCACTATAAATTTCAAAATGGCGAACTGAGGGGTTGCCGAAGTGGGGGGTTTTTCTAGACAAAACACCTCATATCTCAATAGCTAATCACCAAAACCCCACAGTATGTTATATCAGTTTTCTTCTTTTAAATTGGTATATCCAAATATGCAATAAAATTTGAGGCATTCTATTTGAAAAAGCACAACTTTGATATGTAGGTCGAAATTGGGACACCCTATATAATGGTCAATATTTTACAAATGTGCCCTCAAATGCCATGTATAACATCCCATAAATAGCTGTTCCCAAAATGTATTTGTGTATGAGTAATATTCCGTCCACACATGGATGGGCCACCCTGTATACAGGGTTGATCTAAGACTGATGAGAAGAACAATTTTCCAGGGACAGTTCGACGAAATGGTCTACACATTTTGGTTCACCCTGTATATAAACACGCATTAATAGTGCATATGTACACCACCCCATTCTAGTCAATTTTACAAGCAATTATTGAGGTCAATGGCGCTTCCTAAATACGTAAATTTTGCACATCCGCATATCTAGAATAGTCGAACACAGCAGAGCATAGCGAGCGATCGATGATTCGGCTGCAATTTGGAGCCAGATTGTCGGAGCCCTCTGATAGTCGTATGTTTACTTATTTTGCAATGGAAAATCTTCCGCGACCCGGAAGGAGCCTCCGTATGTCTCCGAATTTTATGGGAACTGCCGGAAGCGTAGCTCAGGGGG